CCTGGCACTGGGACCCGGGCTCTGTCCCTCCTTCGGACCTGCCACCCCAGTGACCCCCCCTCTGTGCTCTCCTGGTGCTCTCCTCCCCAAGGGACCCTACTTTTGGTGCAGCCCTGGCTACCCCAGCCCAGCCCCACCGAGTGGCTCCAACCAAATTCCCACATCTCAGCATAGAGCTCAGCCCCCCCCGCACCCCCAGGGCCACCACTGGGAGCCACTGGGTAAGTGTTAATACCCGTTACATCCTCTCCACTGGGACCCAGGGATGCACTGTATGCAGTACATGGGCACGTCCCCAGTTTCACCCACCAAAGTGACCATCAGAATGGTGCTTGGGACCAGGGAGGGTGATGGGGCAGCTGGTGCTGCTGGGAGGCAGAAAGATCTCACCATGCGTAGAACTTTTTGGAGCAGAGCAGCTAAAAGGAGAGTGATGAAGGGTCCTCAGTAACTGTCTGTGGCTGAAGAACAGATTTGCTGGCAGCAATAAGCACCCTGACATGAGGATGGGCTGCACAGGGGGTGCCCAAGGAGGATTTGTTTCCCCTGCAGCAGCTCTGTCTCCACACAAGCTGCTGTTGTGGCCAGGAGGGACAGATATTTCAGTAATGCCCCCAGGCTACCACTGGGCACACAAGTCCTCTGTGTCCTTACATCCCATGCTCCTTTCCAACCCTTCAGGGTGGTTTCATGGTAAAAATTAAGTCCGTCTCATAGACAAGCTGGTTTTGATGTGACTTGAAGCCTCAAGAAGGGCTGAAGCACAGTTTAAGAACTGGTGGATACACAAAACATCAGCCAAGGCTGTTGCTTAAGAGGCAGAGCCCAGAGCCTGCAGTCTGGCTCATTTTGGTGCCAGTGCTTCCCCACTCCGTGGTTTGCTTGGTCGTGTGCCTTGCAGCTGAACTTGTGACCCAACAATAATCATCTGACTGTGCTGGGCTCAGTGAAGCAGGGATTTTGTCTGCTGGCCAAAGTGCTGTGTGTCCAGGGCTGTTGGCAGGACCAGAGAGAGAAAAGGGGCAGCGCAGGGAGGGGAGGTGGAGGGGACAAGGGACACAACCTTGGGCATCTTGAGGTGCCAGGAGATCTTCTCCTTCCCATGGCACTGCCCCATTCAACAAGATATGTCCTGGAAACAGCATCCAGGATGGCACATGGTCCCAGAGGTGCCACCTTACACCAGCATCCAGCTCCAGGCTGAGCCCTGAGCTGCTGGACACCTGTGGGGAGTGAGGCTTGGTGTGAAGCCATGCCAAGCTCCTCAGTGGGACAGGGGGGCTGCTGTGCTGCCTCCTGTCCCCACCTCCACTCTGTTTGCTCTTTGTGGCTTCATGTTTTTAAGACATTCTCCTTCCCTTCACATGCAATGGGTGGGCAGCAGCTCTTGCACCATCTCAGGCAGGGTTTGGTGCTCAGCCCTGGGGAGAGACACAGCAGAAAACTGTGCAGTGCAGCACATACACTGAGCTGCAAGGAGCTCTCTGTGGGTTTCTGACCCACAGAGATACTAGTGAGGGGCAGAAAGAGAGCAGAAAGGTCCCTACCATGGCTCCAGGTACCCCAGCTTGGAGGTCATCAAGCCAGGGTTAATCATTGCAGCCCTGGGAGCTCCAGCTCCTCCATCTGGTAGATCTCCAGCAGCAGAGGATGAGTCAAACTGAACTGGCATGACTTTAGCTCCAGCCTGGAGAACATCTGATTGCCTCCTGATGGGGAAAGGCAGGCAGAACATGTGAGTGCCTGAGCTGAGACCCACTCCATCCCATCAGACACTGGGTTTGAGCCAGACTTGCTCCATCCCATGATATGAATGCTGTGTTGGCATCTTTGGGGTTGAAGTGGAGGGATGGAGCTGCTGGCTGCCCCCTCCCAGCCTCCCCTGTCCTCACTGTCTCCCTGGACAGGTGGGAATCAACTACCCAAAGATGGAGCTTTGCTTGTGAGCCAAATGCTGCTTTCATTTCCCTGCCCATGGGGAGTGGAAAAGATGCTGAGTACATGTTGCCCATCCCATGCTTGTACCCACAGCTGCGGGAGGAGATGGTGTGAGACACCCTGGTCTCCCTGTGTCCCTTTCCAGGTGTGAGGGGCTGAATCTGGCTGCTCTTCTGCTTGCCAGGGCTGAATGGAAACAGGCTGGAGACAGGTGAGTACATTTGGTGAGCAGGAAACAGAGGTGGAAGGTGCCTCTGGGCCTAATTGAACAGCTATGGTTAATAAGGTATATTAATGTATATTGAGATTTATAAGGTAAATTCAGCTCCTACTTTGATTTTTGCCTGGAAACCCATCTCACCCAGGTCTGATCTTGAAATATCAATGTGAGGGTCTGCAGTGTTGACCCTTCTTCTCCCATCTTCCTCCTGCTTCATCCCAGGCACCTCTGGGAAGGGATGACAAGTTATTTTTCTTTCTTTTATTCTTTTTTCTTTTTTTTTTTCTTCTTCTTGACCATCGAGATGCCAAGGGTGTAAAGTTAGAAATAAACTAAAAATTTTTAAAAAATTACAAATATTTCCTGGATGTTCCAGCTCACAAAATAAATAATTTTAAATGGACCATCTGAGAGCTCCAGGCCAAAGATAGAGTGGAAAGGTTGTAGGCAGGGAAGAACTGGCCTTGCAAGTTGTTCACTTGTCTGAGAGGTTGGCAGATCAGAGGCCTGGGCTCTCACCCAAGAGTTCAAGCTGTGCTCTCCCAATTCCTCACCACATGGGCAGGAAGGAGGATCCTCTCCAGGGACTGCAGATGAGTCAAAGAGAGTTGTCAGGAGGCTTTCCAGGAAAGAAAAGCTTGGAGAAAAAAAACCCAACAACAAATCTGGCTGGGTCTAGGTAGGGTCATGGAGAGAGAGACACACAAGAAACCTGAGCACGTGGAGGTCTTTGTAACCTCAGCCCTGCCCCATCCTTGGTGCAGGAAGAGGCTGAATTTAATTAGATTTATTCTGGTTCATATGACAGTGACTGGAGGAGGAGGGATGCTCTGTCTTGGGTTTTCCATGCAGCCCTTGCAGTTCTCTTGCACAACAGGGATGGCAGCAGCACTGGTGGGAGAGGAGGGTCTGGGCTCAAGCACACGTCTGTGAGGGCCACAACAAAAATGAAATCAGCCCACTCCCTCCATGCACAGGCAGCACAGGAGAAGGATCCCTGTGTCAAGTCTCACTGCTCCTGGAGCAGGAGCATCTTCTGCTGCCTTCTGGCACGGTCCCCACACATATTGTCACCTCTGGCATCTGGCAGGGCTTCCACATGGGAATGCCAAGGTATGTTGAACAGTGGTAAAGCTTGGGTTTGCCTGATTTCCAGGCAGTATGGCAGGTCCTGGGGCTGCTGGTAGCTCATGCACCCAGAAAGCCTCCCAAACCCCCCTCTATCTTCACCCCCCTTGGTATTTAAGGTTACCTCCAGTTTAAAGGAAAACAGAAGCAGGGTTTTTTCCAGGATGCTCTAAAACAACGTGGAGGTTTAGAGGAGCCAATGGGCCCACACCTCCCCAAGAAGCAGTATCACTTGTTTATTCATACACCCACCTTCAGCCTGAAGATCTGTGACCCAGGACTTCCCCAGCTCTGCATTGGACCCACTTACCTGAGACTTGGGTCCATCCTTGATGAATTAGCTTTATGTGATGCTCATCTTAGAAATCCCTAAGCTAGAGATGCATAAAGACACCGAGCCTGCCAAAAAAAAAGGGCAAAGCCAGTGGTCTGGGTGAGATTGAAAGGTTGTCAGAATGATCTGGAATCAACCTGAGGTGCTGGGGAGTCCCAAGGTGCTGAGGGTGCTCCTCCCTCAGGCAGTGATCACTGTTGTGTTAGGATGTTCACTCATTTTCATCAGCCCATGAACCAGTGGAACAGGCAGGAGAGGGGGCTCAGATCTGGTGGTTCTGGGTGGGTTTTTTTCTCCTCAAGAAGAACATTTCCATCAGAACTTGCCATCTTTATGTAGCACTATGTGTGGGCTGGTTCAAAGGAACCCCAGGGCAGGCTTGGGAGTTTTGGTCAAACGTCAAGATGTTTAACCCCAGCTCAGACACAGCTTTGCAAAGGAGTTTGGGGAAGGACCAGGTGATTTTTGGAGGCTCTTCTCGCTGCTGTGCTGCTCTCAGGAGACCTTGCAAACCTCAGGACCCAGCCGGGAAGCGGAGCAGCAGCTCCATGGGGAGCACAAAGGAAGGGGGGGGAGGCTGCAATGCTGCGTGTAGGACTGAGCTGTGGGGTTTGGGGGAGCCATAAACCTGCTTCCCCTGCAGGGAACACCTGCGGGAACAGCCGCAGAGCCAGCCCGGAGCGAGGTTGCCATCTGGTGACACTGCCCTGCCCTGCAAACCAAGGTTTGAAACGGGACCGAGCGCCGGGGGTTGCACCACGAATCCAAACCCCCTCGTTAACAACCCCGGAGGTGCTTTGGGACGGCTCAGAAATGGGAAGCGGGAGCCTTTAAAACCAGGGAAGATCAAATCACAGCTGGGAGCAGGGCTGTGCAGGAATCTGGGGAGGCAGCAGCAGCACCCAGAGCCCAGCCCGGCTGTCCCTGCCCTTTCCTAAGTCCTAAAAAGTCCTAAAAAATCCTAAAAAAAATGGGATTTCCCCACTTTTCGGGCTGCCAGGGCTGGGCTGCTGCCCCGGAGGGGGGGATGTTGCGCTGAGGAGCAGGAAAAAGCAGATGTTTAGGGGGCCCTGGGGGGTCTGGGGTAGCAAAGGCGAAATAACCATCACTTGTAAGGCGGGAAGGGCCTCTCGTGGTGGCTGCAGGAGGTGCAGCCCAAACCCCTTCCAGCCTCATTCATGAGCGTCAAAATTAATCCAGTCGCTGCTTTCTGGGTAAGGAGTTCAGAAGTCAAGGCAGGGTTTTGGTCCGGGAGGGCACATTTTGCTACTTGATTCACTTGCAGGGCCTCGCTCATTCCAAACTGAGCCGAAACCTGCCCTTCTCTGCCAGCCTGAGGCAGGAGAGCCTGTCCCTGCATCTCACCGGCAGGCTGGGATGGTGTCACTGCAGGGAACTTGGCAGGACACAGGGCCAAGGCCCTGAGATAAAATAAAATAAAA